TGTTTTCGTCGCGCTGTGATGACGTCACGTACGCGCTTTCATCGAGGGCGCTTTAGTCTACCGCGGTTTTGTGGTGGAACCCTCCTTCCCATTAGCTTAATGTGGTTGAATGAGGGAAACTCACCTGTTCTCATTAATAGGACACTTTCCACACCATGAGTGACCACTCCTGTAGTCACTCCAATGAGAGAGAAAACAGGACGAGAGATCACATTTTTGGATTTCTTGATACGTTCCATCTTTTTAAAAACCTCGATTGACATTACTTATCCCTCCTAATTGTCTGAGTCAGACGTTAGGTCCGTTGCCTATTGCTGTCTAAGGGATGAAAGTTCCCCCAACTTTTACCTGTCATGATTATCTCTTTGTAGTACTTGTAGCTGCACTCAAAATATTATCTGAATGGTTGCTAGGAGGCAAATATTAAAAATTGATCCACAGTTACTATCAAGGAAGCTCATAACATATTAAAAAGACTAGTATGCCAAGAAATATTCCTTACAATATATTGCTACTTAATTGGATTTCTGTCACTTTGAAATACAACACACACAGAGAGTTAAATATAGCTGTACACATTCCTAGTATATATTTTGTTTTTAAGCAGGTCTGTTGAGAATGCAGAGCAACAGAAATAGGATTTATAAAAAAAAAAGAATCTCTTAAAGGGGGGAAAAAATCAAGAAAACATATTTCAACATGTTTCAGATTCAAATAATCTTTCATCGGGGATATCTAAAAATGAATATACAAGCATTGTATGCTCTATAAATAATTTACATTGTTATCTTTGGCACAGAAACGCTATATGGCATTGGAAATTACATTCTGAAACTGAACCTTGTAAAGCAGAGTTTTGACTGAAACCTAGATTTATATTTGATTCCTAGGTATTTAGTTTTAAATTTTCTAGCAACGCGAGGAGCTCAAATGTTATGTGCTGCTGATTTTTAAAAACATATACACTCAGAGCAGTATCTTTTAAGCAATCTGTCATGAATAAATATTTGCCTAGTAGTGAACAAAGTGGAATAGGCGAAACAGTAGATGTTGCCCACCAAAGTTTAGCCAAATTGGTTTTTTCAAATTTTAGCGTATCAGAATTGTTGGGGTGATTGTTGTTCTATCACTAATTCAATGATGCCTAGTTANATCACCCATGTATGTATGTATGTATGTATGTATGTATGTATGTATGTATGTATGTATGTATGTAAGGTTCCCCTTACACATCTGTCCTAGTTGTTCCTGACTCTAGGGGGCGGTGCTCATCTCCCTTTCAAAGCCGAAGAGCCAGTGCTGTCCAAAGACATCTCCGTGGTCATGTGGCCGAAGGGACACGGAAAGCTGTTACCTTCCCACCAAAGGTGTTTCCTATTTTTCTACTTGCTTTCTAACTGTAGGTTGGCAGAAGCTGGGACAAGTAATGGGAGCTCACTCTGTTACGCGGCGCTAGGGATTCGAACCACTAATTGCCGACCATTCTGATCGACAAGCTCAGCATCTTAACCACTGAACGTATGTATGTATGTATGTATGTATGTATGTATGTATGTATGTATGTATGTATATTTGTGTATACACACACACACATATATATAAGATTTTCAGGGGTATAAGTATGCTGATCTTGTTGTATTCAGGTCTTTTCCTGTGTAAGATTGAGATTGTCTTGGCAACGTTTTGCCAAGGTCTCACTCGCCATCATCAGGCTGGTGTTTTCGGCTTGAAGCATGGTCGGAGCTGCTGTCTTGGTGGGGGTGGGGGTATGTAGAGTGCTGGCTTTGTTTCAGTAGGTGGACTGATTGCCTGTGTGGTTGTATCATGATTGGTAGATTGGTGCTGGCTGTGTGTCCATTGTTGTTTTGTGTTGTAATGGCCTGGGTGGTGGGTGGGACTCGTTTGTTGACTAGGGCTGGTTTCTAGATGTCTGGTAGGAGGTATCATCACATTTATTCATGTTGTGGGGGTGTTTCTCTACTTCAATAGCTTCCATAATTATTCTTTTGTTGAAGTGTTCAATTTTGGAGATTAATTTGGTTCCTTCAAAATTAATTTCATGTCCTGTAGCTTTAAGATGCTGGAAAAGGGAGGACGTTTTTTCTTTTTTTCTTACTGTGTTCTTGTGTTCTGCAACGTGTGCATTTATTCTCTTGTTCATTTGTCCTATGTATGTTGCAGGGCAGATTTTGCAGGGTATTTCGTAGACTCCTTGGTTTTCTAGCTGGATTTNACCCTGAGCCGGTGAGATTTGAACAGCCGAACTGCAGAACTGCAGTCAGCTGAAGAAGCCTGCAGTGCTGCATTTAACCACTGTGCCACCTTGGCAGCTGGGAGTGTCCCATTTTCACACATACTCGCTGCCACTGCCCCTCCACTGCTGCCATAACGAGCTCCGGGCCAAAGAGGCTGGGGATGTTAGTGGGAGTGGGGGATGGGATGGGTGGGGGGAGGTTATAGTGGCCAGGGGTGCTTCATTTTCACAAACCCCCATTGCCACCATCTTTGGGCTCTGGCCCGGAACTTGGCATGGTGGGAGTGGCAGCAGCAGGGGGTGTAAAAATGGGAAAACCATGGCTGCTGCCACTACTCTATACTCTCCCTAGACGCTCTCTTGCCCGCCCACCTGGCTGTCCCTCTGGCTGCTAGCACTCTGTTGTCCCCTTGGCAATTTGGCTGGGTGGTCTGTGACAGTGAGTTGGCAGAGTTGATATGGCAATGGTGAGCTGGCAGTGGTTAGCTGGCAATACCAAGCTGGCCTTTGTCAGTTGTTCTAGATCCACCTAGTTAATTGATATTAAACTCTTAAACTCAAATAGACCTATTTGTATGTATAGGGCTGTGATGGCAAACCTATGGCATGTGTGCCACAGGTGGCACATGGAGCCATATCTGCCGGCATGCCAGCTGTTAGCTCCAGCGTGCATGCGCGCCCTGGACAGTTGATTTTAGGCCTTCCAGAGGGCCGGGAGAGGCTGTTTTCACCCTCCCCAGGCTTCAGGAAGCTAGAAACGGATTGTTTTTGAACTTCCGGTAGACCTGTTGGGCCCATTTTTCACCCTGCCCAGGCACTGGAGGTTTCCTGGAGCCTGGGGAGAGTGAAAACAGCCTCCTTCAACCCCCTGGAGGAAATACCAAGCTCAGCTTGAAGGTGAGCAGTGCGGCGCATGTGGGGAAGAGTGGGGTGTGTGTGCGCACATGCGCCTCTGGGGGCACGCTTTGCATTATGGGTGTTGGCACGCTCGCATTTTTGGCACTCAACAACAAAAAGGTTAGCTATCACTGGGATAGGGCAACGCAGGAATAAAATCTCCTGGGAATTAATCTCGGGGATCTAATTTAGTGTTTCTCAATCTTGGCAGCTTTAAGATAGATGGATTAACTCTTTGAATTCCCCAGCCAGTATACTTTCCCCCCTCCCACCTTGTTGGTTAAAGCAATCTCTCCTTTTGGGATGGAGAGTGGAGAAGAAGGGATTACAAGAAAGTAAGGAGAGACATTGGAGAATATAATAAAATTGTATAACGTGCTTGTGGCTCCTGCTGGGACCATCAGATTCACTTTCTGTGTATTCTCCATTCTATGCCTGTTTACTCTCTTATAATCCCTTCCTCTCCAATCTCTGCAATCTGTGAAGGGGTAAAAAAGAAAGTTTTTTTTCAGCACTGCTGTAAATTTAAATGGTCACTAAATGATACAACCAGTAAGTGAGGTCTACCTGAGTAATGCCCGATTTCTGCATCTTTTTCCTCTCAGCAATAGCCACAATATCTTATTCTAGTAATGTCTCACCTGATTCCTAATAGTATCTATATTGTTTCTGTCTCCTTACAAAAGTGTTCTGAATCTTATCAGTTGATTCTATCAATGAATTAGCGCAGGAGCATTAATCTGACTGGAGAAGGCTCAAATGCTGGAAAAGGTGAAAGGAAAGAGAATGACCATCAGCAAAGGTGGTTATTCAGCTGGTTCGGACCAGTTTGGGCAAACTGGTAGTGCCGATGATCGGTTGGCCCCACCTACACGTCCCGCCATATCCTGTCCTTCATTTCTGCTTTCTAGCTCATCTCAATCACACGGCACAGCTGATCCCCCCTCCACTGTCGTACTTACCGTCGCTGACTTGGAAGGTAAGCAGCTGAGTTTCCAAATTACTCCATTTTCAGCACAAGCACTTTAAGCGCACACACATGCAAAGCGCGCACTCACCGAACCGGTTGTTAAACTTGCCAGGTTTCATCAGCAAGATGAATGGACTCAATTACAGTGGCAACAAGCGCACCATTGAAAGAACTGAAGACCAGGTCAGGGGCAGATCATCACAGAGAAAAATCTATGTGATTG